GATTCTCAAGCTTAGTGGTTAGGGCATCCAACTGGGAAAGAAGGGAGCCATGGCTTCCAACCCCAGTTTCCCAGTATTGTTACACTGAGTAGTCATAGGATAAAATGCATAAATGGTCCTTGGAGCAAGGAACAGAACCCAAGTTTCCTTCTTCCCAGGCAAGTAATCTAACTGTTAAGTTAGGCTGTCATGCTCACTCTCTCCATCTCTTTGGTCCAGTAAATCTTTAATTCTTTTATGCAAAGTGAATCATCTTAAACAGCAGGGGTTGAGAGTAATCCCAGCATGGAAGATTTTCGCCTCTGGTGGGTGATGCAGGTTAACATCCTCTCAGGCAGGAGAAGGAATTGAACTTAGGTCTCCTACATCCTGGGTGAATGCTCAAACCATGGCCTCTTGTATAAAAGTGGGGCATTGCCACCAGCCATATTTTTTAATGAAAGCAGCAGCTGTTGCCATGTTTTGCAAAATCTGATCCTATAAGCATGCTCTAATCCAGTGGGGGCAAAACTTTTTGTAAGGCATGCCATAAATTACCCCCACACCCTCCCTATGTGCTGTTTCAATCCCCTTGCCTTGACTGATTTTCTACTCGTTCCGTTCCCTGCCCTGTATTTCCTGCCCAATCTGCTTCTCTGCTTTCTGCTCCCTTCCTGATCTGCCATGTGCCACACAGGCCACAGGTTGGCCATCTGCTCTAGTCTATGGGGCATAATTTCTTCCTTACTAAATGTTGTAACAATTAGAATTTTGTATACTTTTAAAATCAGTTTGGTGTTACACATCCCTACCCTTTTTTCCCCTTTGTGGTTCTTTGCTTTTACAATTGCCCAGGTAAAGCACTTTTATTTTTCATCTTTCTCTGAAATGCCAGGTATTGGCAGAGACAGAACACAAATCACAGTTCTGTAGTCTGAAGCAAGGTGTGTGCGTATCATGATACAATATCAGATGGGATTAGGGAGAAGGCTGAATTGAAACTCTCTCTCTGCCTTGAATTTTGAGAATGTCCATGTGAATGTTGCCCAAAGTTTGCAGAAGCATGAGAGTGGACTGGGTGGCAGGAACAACCTTAGACACAAGCATTTTATGTTTAAGAAAGCTGTGCTTGCATAGCTCTTCCTCAGTGGAAATAAAATGATTAATTTAAGTGATAGATTTATATACATCTACAAATATACATTTTATGTACATGTCTGAAGACTACCAGCCTAAACACTGGCACCTGCTGGCTGGCATTGCTCCACCTGACGTCAGAAGAGCAGTGGCCAGCAATAGAGAATGACAAACTGAAGATGCAAGACACCCACTGTACGACCATCCCATAGTGCACAAATGACTGAAATGGCGCAGGAGCTTCCTCACCAGCACCCAACCCTTCTGTGCCACACTCAAGGAGACACAACTACAGGTGTGGAACAAAACACTGGAAAAAACTGACAGCAAAAAGATGGGCATTCCAGCAGCTGAGTCCTTACCATCAGGGGCTGACGAACCACGGCAAAGGTGGTGATGTCTCAACCGCCTATGCTGGATGCTTTAGGGAACTAATGAAGAAGTCACCCCCCTGTGACTGTAGCACAGAGCCTCAGACTATGCAGCACCTGCTGCACTGCCCACTGCTTGAAGACACATGTACAGTGGAAGATCTTGCAAAGTACAACAAGCAAGCACAAGCATGTGTAGCAAAATGGTCCAACATGGTATAGAGATATGAGAAGGAGAAGACTGGCTTGTACATAGGGATAAACTATTTTATCTGTGAACCATTAGATCCATATAATTCAGCACTTAATAAATATGAGCATGCTGTGTTCTGGAATATCCCCGATGCTTGGTCTATATGTATATATATATATATTTATAAAGTTTCTTGCCTTTATGTATTCTTTTTTTAAAGTGTATGTATTAACAAATCTAATTTATCAGATAACAAATTTATATATTAAGGGCCTGGATATGTCCTTAAAAGTTATAAGACAGATCACTATCTTCCATCAACAGAGCTCCATTAACTCATCAATGTCCACAGAGGAGTTCTGTCTTTTATTCTCACTCTGACAGTTCCTTTATGTTTCTGTGGATGTTAAGCTTTTGTCCTTCTTCATCTCTATATATAAACTTGCTTAAAAATTCACCCCTCTTTTTCCTCAGACCTCTGCATAATACAAAACTCACTGCTTTCTACTCATCTCTGCTTTTAAATTTCAAGTTTATTCCAAGTTTGTTTGTAACTGTTAGCTTATAGAAGTTACACTTTCTTTCAATATTCAGAGAAGTTTCACAAACTTTCTGGTTTGGAGGCAAGAGAACTTTCTTTTTCAGCAAGTTCCAAGAATTTCCACCAACTTTCTAAAATTTGTTGTATATTTTTCAAGTAATTTTTAAGGTGATCATAGGATATCCTCTGGAGCCCAGAGGAAGTGATTTGGGGCTAATCTCCTGTGAATTCCGCTACTGTTTCCCCAAAATCATTTGGGTCTTGTTAGTCCATGTGTAACCAAGTTTGGGCTCCAGGGGTGGCCAGAATGCCCCTGGTGGCCACACAACCCTTACCCTGCTGTAGCCCTGGGGTGCCTTCCTCTTCTCACTCACCTACCCCACCACACCTTTGATGTAATTGTTTGATTGCCTAATAGGTCCTAGAGTGAGCCCCAGTTTGTCTAGATGCCAACTAGTTCTCCGAGGGCACCTGTTAGCCTTAAGGGTTAATCATGTGGTCCGACTGCCCCTTACACCACGTCCATGCCTCGCAGACATTACTAATTAATGACTTTGCTGGGCACTTGGCCCCAGTCCAATACCAGGCCACCTCAGGTCTTTATACCCTTGCTGGGGCCTCTGCCTTCCCAGCCTCAGCCCCTTTTCTCTCGCTGGTTCCCTTAGCCTAGGCCCACTGTGCCAGGTCTTGTTGCCCTGTGGGGTCAGGCCAACTCTCAGGATCTCAATATTGCACTGTTAGACAGTAGGGTGTGACACAATTGCACATATACAAACACACAAATCAATTAGGTGCATACACACACACACACTCTACCAGCTCAGACACATACACTTCCAAACCAGCCTAGGCACATGCATACCTATCACCAATTCAAGCACATACACACTACACACTAAAAATTAGACAAAAATCAATTGTCCATACCCACACGCTCAGTACACATACATCATGCACACAATGATATATACACACACACCAGTTCACACACATACAATCCACCTACACATACACACAGGTAAGTTCCTAACTTGGATGGCACAGTATGTATGCTTGTGCTTGGGGTACTTGGGATACTTGGGGGAAGGTTAAGGTGAGAGAGAGAGAGAGAGTTAAAGTGTAGGGAGTGGAAGTTACCAGAACCAGGATTAGAACCAGTGGACTAGTGAGAAGCTGGATAAGGAACTGAGGCTTGGGTTTACTTAAGACCAAGTGGCCCCAGGGTGACTCAAGGTCACTGGTGCATGGGAGGAAAAAAAAAGCCCGGTGACAAGGAGGAGACAGCCAGGAAAGAGAGAGAGACAGAAACCTGGAAGCTTGGGGCTGGAAACTGAGGCAGACAGCTGAGATATTGGGGGGGGGGGCAGATAAGTGGTGGCAAGGAGGAGACAGCCAGGAAAGAAACTGAGGCAGAAACCTGGTTGCTCAGGGGAAAAGGATAAGGCAGTGGGGATAAGACAGTGGCAAAGAAACACGGGTTTGGAGGCAGAGAGGAGCTCAGGGCAGGTGTTGGAGGGGGCGCTGAGCCAGAAGCAGGAGAGGGAGAAATGAGACAGAAGTTAGAGGGGCGAGGAGCAGAGATTGAAAGACTCAGTGGAAGGGTTGGAGTCCAGGTAGGGAAGAGAAGCAGAGTCCAAGTCCTTGGTTGAAGAGGGGGTGGGCAGGGGGTGGATAGCTACCTATCCAGGCTGGAAAGGGGTCTTTGTCCAGTAGGTGTTATCCAGAGGGGGGTCACCGGCAGGGCCTCTGGGTGGATAGGTGGTGTGGCATGGTGCTGGTCCAGATGGAGAGGGCATCCCAAGGAGTCAGTCTTCACTACCCCTTTTTATGGGGCAGACTACCTCTGATCTCCTATGGGGACGGCCTGTCCTGGCAAGGTCAGTCCTGTCCCAGAGGGCTCCAGGTGTTCTTACTGAGCATGTGTGGCCTTGGCACAATGGTGGGTTGTCTCATCTTTTGTTTCCTGAATGCTGAGGGTGGTTCCAATGGCTGGGGTGTTGGTCCAGGTATTGGTTTTGATGGTTTGGTCATTCAGAAGGAGCTATTTTTAGACCTACTGCCATTGTCTCTCAAGCACCTTTATTCATCTCCATTCATTCAGGAACCAAGTTACATAGGAGGGGTAGGCATGAATCATAGGTTACACAACTGGGCCTGGGGACAGGATGGAGACTTGACATTATGAGATGGAAACTTGACATGACTTATGCTAACTTACATATATAAGCCTAAAACAGTAATCACACAATATAAAAGCAGTAAAAAAAAATCAATACAAACATAATAATTATCTGTTATTATAAAACAGTGGATATCTATATATTTGCAAAGATGGGAGAGAAAAATAAAACTTACTACCTAAAATAAAATGTTAAAGCTTATCCTACAGCTTAGCTTACTTATAGTTATCTATAGGGAATAGAGAGGGAGAGACAAAGTCAGAAATGGTAGGGGAAGGGGAGGGAATGCATTTTAAAATAAATACAAAAAAGAAAAACGGGGTTTTGCTACAGGCTGACTTCTGGGTCCCAGCCCAAATCTCACCCTCTCAGGTTGTGCCATGCTTGGACTATAGGCGACTGGTCCTGATCTCACCCCTCCAGCGTTGTCTCTGCCCTGCCTTGGACACTGAGCCTGCTTTGGCTCCGTCTGGGCCCCTGGCCCTGATGTCCTCTTCATGCGCAGGACCCCCTTGGCCCTGGCTCTGCCCTCCTCAGGCACTAGACCCCCCTGGCCCTTGTCCAGCTCCTGCCCATGCTAGGCTTCAGCCTTTCTTTATCTCTCTCTAGGCTTAGATCCCACCCCCCACCCCAGGTCTAAGCCCCAAGTAGAGGCCCGCAGCAGGGCTCTAAACCCCCAAGCACCCCCAAACCGCTCCGCCATGGGTTAAACCCCCCAGTCACCCTGCCATGGCCCCTGCTCACTCCACTTTCATCCACTCCCAAACTACCCATTGAAACTAATCCTGGAGTAAGCCTTTTGGCAAACATAACTAAACCCCCTCTGGGCACATCCTGATGAGTGCGGCCATGCTATATGTGGCACCACAAACACATCTGCAGCATCACATACCACAGTCAGGTGTTCTCCGCGCTGCAAGGGTGCACTGCCTGTGTGTACACTGATCCATTTTTTCCCCATGGGTTTTTTTGACCCCTGGAGGTGCAGGTGTAAGATTTAGGAATGATGATGATGGTTCTGTTGTGGGGTGTAGCACCTTCAGAAATGTAATATATCTAATCCAAAGCACTAAATGCCCCAATGGGAAATATGTAGGAGAACCCAAACAACTGTGTAACAAAATGAACACACACCGTAAATCTATCAAAGACAAAAATACTCAATTATCTGTGGGGGCACATTTTTCACAAGAAAGCCACTCTCTCTCCAATCTCTCAGTTCTAATTCTCAAAGGGGATTTACAAAACACCTTTCACAGACAAGCCTCCGAACTTCACTTCATAAATCTACTGGATATAAAATATCATGGACTAGACATTGGATTTATGTCACATTATAACCTGCCTGCCATCTGATAACCCCAGGTAACCTGTCTGCATTTTACCAGCTACATTTTATCACCAGTTCAACATTTCCCCTTCCCCATACCTGTCTCACACCTATCATCTTCCACCTATTGTGATCCTCACTGCATGCATTTGTATTTTCAAAGACCAGCATTTTGGCTTTTACTCCACCCAGGACAGCACACTATTCACCAGCAGACTCTCTATATGCCTGAAGAAGGGTATTTGTGCCCGAAAGCTTGCAAAGAACAACTTTTCCAAGCCGGGCGGTCCAAGGGTAATTGGTGCCCTAAGTGAACTATGGACCTTGGCGCTCCCACCACTTTCAGTATAGAGGAAAATAAGAAGTCTAGAATTAACTTTTACATCTGAGATCTTTTCAGAGGTCTTTCTCCCCTTACCAAACCAAAGGTCTTAGACCAAGGTGGAGCCATAGGCAGCCAGGGCTGTTATTTAGTACTCAATATAAATCAACTTTTGTCTTTGAGCATAGAATAATCCAAAACCACCTGTCTATGTGCTTCCTGCATCTTTTTGTTTTGTTTGTTTTGAAAGGATGTGGACAAATTGAAAAGAGTGCAGCAGAGGGCAATGAAATTGGTTAAAGGGCTGGGGGACACGACTTCTGAGGAAAAGCTGAGGGAACTGAGCTTATTTAGTCTAGAGAAGACTGAGAGGGGATCTAATGGCAGCCTTCAACTCCCTGCAGGGGGGTTGCGAAGAGGTTGGAGCTGGACTGTTCTCAGCAGTGGCAGGTGACAGAGCAAGGAGCAATGGTTTAAAGTTTGGAAAGGTGGGAAAAGTATGGGAGAGATACAGGAGTAGTGTTAGCCTCTGAAGACTTGCCTTGAATCATGGGCAAACCTTGTGGTTTGGTGTTCTTTCGAAAAATGAAGAAGAGAGCTTACAATGAATTAAAAGGCTCAAGTCTGAGACAGATTTGTTACTATTTAAATTTGCTTTTTAAATTTTTGTTATGAAGCAAGTCAGAAGGAAGCTCTGTGAGCCACTGCCCTGGAAGAGTAGCCCTGGAAGATGCTGAGTTAGATACCACTGTTTTGTTAGACACCATGGATAAGGTGGGACTTGCATGACCTTGATGGAGGAAGAGATCGCTAATACATCCATAGGCTGAAACGCTAAGTCATATGGTGAACAGGCACTCCAGGATGGCAAGACTGATAGCCCTACAGAAGAGGGCGAGACGACACTGGGCAGACAGACTAACGTGCCAATATGAGCAGTGGCACAAAAGAGAATGTTAGAATGGAAAAAAAACACTAATTTCTTAAGCTGATTTGGAAACTATATTTGCCTAGAAAAGTCCATGCCAAACTGAACTAAGCTATCTGTGTTGTAAGTTCTGTTGTAAGGCAAGTGGACTTGCACAAAAGAACTACAATAGTCTTTGATTGAGATGTCTGTGTTAATAGTATCTGTAGTGTGCAATGTGGTGGATTCATGTACTTTTATTTGCATTAGTTGATATGCTGCCCGTGAGGGTCTGATGTCATGCATTACTGTCACGTTACCTATCTTTTTTTTTACCAGCAATAAAAGTAATGAATAATTCAATGTTTGAAATGGCTGCAAGTGAGGTGATGACCCCACTTCAATTTTATATGCCTGGAGCAGTGATCTAAACCATACCACCTCATCTGCTCAAGCAATAAACAAAAGGAAACAATGACTGAGGACAGGGCAGCATACAGGTATTTCCACCCACTCCTGTAGTTTAATAAGAGTAGTTCAATAAGCCTGCCTGTCAATAGGTGTAGCAGCACACGTACCGTGGGAGAAAGTTGTCTAATTTCTTCCAACCTACATAAATAGAGCAGGTTGACTTAGTGTGGGTATGCATGTGCTCGCAGACACACACCGAAGAGATTTCCTCTCCCTCTTCCTCTTGCCACCTGGCTCTTCAGCTCCATGTCAGAGGTCCTCTCTTGCTTGGCCTTGTAGCGTTCTGGAGCCCTGAAGTTATTTGATCTGTTCCAGCTATAGAAAAACACAAATTTAGTAGTGACCGTAATAAGCAAAAATAGTAACAGGTCTTCAGAGTTACACACATTTTGGGGGCCTGGCCACAGGAGTTACTATTGTCCTTTGTATTTTGATACAAGGCCCTGGCAGCCATGAGGGAGAAGGACGAAGGGGATGCCTCCAGCGGGGACGATGCCACTCCACGCACGACACAGATGGTGCAGAAAGGGAACATCAGGAGAAGGAAACGCCGGGTCCTCGTCATCAGGGACTCCATCCTAAGGGGAGTGGACGGTCCCATCTGCTGACCCAACCCCGTGGCATGAGAGGTCTGCTTCATGCCTGGAGCTCAGATTCGGGACATCAGAGAGAGGACCCCGGCCTACATTCGACCGTCAGACCAGTACCCCATGGTTCTCATCCACGTGGGAACAAATGACACGGCCAGAGGCAACCCAGACTGCATCATGAAGGACTTCGAGGCCCTGGGGGCCAAGCTGAAGGAGATGACACCAAGATTTGGGGTGAGAAAGGAAAAAGGGAAGGACAGGTTCCTCCTTGTCCTTAAGCAGGAGGAACTTGCCCTCCAGATAGCTAGTTCAAACCTGGACATAGTGGGGCTCACAGAAACCTGGTGGGATTCATCCCATGACTGGGCAGTCAACATTAGGGTCTATAGGCTATACAGGCAGGATAGAATGGGGAGGAAAGGCGGGGGTGTGGTGCTCTACGTCGAAGAGCAATACACGTCCTCTACCAGCAGGATGGGGTCCAAGGAGGGGCAGGCTGAAGTGCTCTGGGTCAGAATACAGTGGGGTTGTGAGGAAAGGGACTTAATGGTGGGGGTCTACTATGCACCTCCCAACCAAGGGGAAGAGGTGGACCATAAATTCTCGGGCCAGCTTGTGGAGGCACTTAAGGCAAGGAATGTAGTCATCATGGGTGATCTAAATTACCTGGACATCTGCTGGGAGGAGCAGTCAGCCAGGTCTCACTGCTCATGGAGGTTCCTGGCCAAGATACAGGACCTCCACTTAACCCAGGAGGTGCACGGTCCCACCAGGGGGAATGCCCTCCTGGATCTGGTTCTGGCCACAGGCAACGACCTGGTGAGGGGACTCCAGGTCCTCGACCACCTGGGCGATAGCGATCATCGCTTGCTGGAATTCACCATCCAGCGCAGGATGTCAAGGGCCTGCAGTAAGGCAGCCTTAGACTTCAAGAGGGCCAACTTCAATGAGCTAAGGAGATTAGTGAGGGAGGCACTAGGGTCCTGAAGAGTAGGGGAACCGGGTGCCCAAGATGAGTGGTCGTTCCTTAAGGAGACGATACTCAGAGCCCAAGGGGTGACAATCCTAACAAGAAGCAAGGGGCGCAAGAGTGCCCAAAAGCCCCCCTGGCTCACCAAGGGCATTCGTGAATGCCTGATTGCCAAAAAGGAGGCGTACACCCAGTGGAAGGGAGGGGCTATCACCAAAGAGGAGTATACCTCCACCGCTTGGGTCTGTAGGGGGGCTGTTAAGAAAGCTAAGGCAGATACGGAACTAGGGCTAGCATGAAGGATCAAGGACAACAAAAAGTCCTGTTTTAAATACATAGAGAGAATGAAGATGGCCCTGGGTAATGTGGGGCCCCTGCAGGATATGCTTGGCATCTGGTGGTTGCACCAGAGGAGAAAGCAGACCTGTTTAACAATTTCTTCGCCTCTATTTTCTTGTGCGGGGACCAGGACTCCCCTACCAGGATTCAGGATGGACTCAGGAGGGACTCTGACAGGCCTAGGGTCAGGGAGGACCGAGTTAGGGAACTTCTGGAGGGGCTGGACGTGTTCAAATCAGCAGGTCCAGATGCTCTCCACCCCAGGGTGCTGAGGGAATTGGCAGGGGTTATCACGGGGCCCCTGGCACGGCTTTATGAGAACTTGTGGTGCTCTGGCCAGGTGCCGGACGACTGAAAGAGGGCCAATGTGGTCCCCATCTTTAAAAAA